GTACCCTCAAGGTAAGCAGGCTACTAAGCCCAAAAGATACTCCAGTTCTTGCTGTGGCAAAAAAGCCCAAACTCTCACTGGAAGGCAGCTGTAAAAGGTTAAACACACATGCTTAATTTAGGGGAGAAAGATACTCTGGAATTTTCCCACAATAATAGCTCAGAAAATATAGCTACTTCTTCCATGATCGAAGCAAAACTGATAATAGGCAAGCATGCATGATTATACGTTGAATATTCATCTAATCTGAAGCAAGGAGCATCTCCTATGCAAACAGGATAATCCCCAGATTTCCCATGCAGCCATTTAAGTGAAAATACCAGAAATGGCCCAACTAGAATCAAAGACAGCAAAAATAAAGACAAGCACATATCTTTCTCTGATTCCTAGTTCTCATTTTCTTCCTTTTTCCCAGTGATGACAGGCTGACAAAAGGAAATATACATCCACCCCAGTCTTCCATACAAGTAAATACAAAAAAAAAAAATCAAGTGTTTATTGGAAGTCTGCATGAAGGCACAGATGAGCTTGATTACAGACACATTGTAACAATTACAAATATATGTAAACACCTTGAGATATACAACAAAGCAATAATACAGCTAATACAGGAATAAAATATAACCTGCTAAAAAAAAAACTTCTTTGTATCTGAGGTTCTTTCAATGATAAGCTCCAATTCACACCAACACAGTGTAATGCTTTTGAAGTCATCACTTGGATTCATGCTCAACGAATCTGCACTTTGACCATCGTTGTTAACCAGTGGATTTATAAATTTGACCCGAATTTGAACAGGCTTCCTTCACTAGGATCAGGAAAAAATAGGAATAACCAACTAGACACCCAGCCAACATATAATGAGGCTTTGTAGAATCTCTAAATACACAAGAGCAATCACCAAGGTACTGAAATGAAATATAAGCTTCAGAAAAGCTCAAGGATGCTTGTTCCATTTTTACTTGCATTGGAGGAAATTGCTGTATTTCTGCAGGAAAGCAACAGTCTACTGCTGTCAGGTGATTTTTTTTCTTCCTCCACAGGAGGCTTAGATTTCATCTGAAACACCTGCCAAAACAAAAGTCAGCAATCACAAACTAAAGTGCCTTGGACAGCTTAGGTTTTACCACTAGAATAGCACACCTTCATTTATAGATACAGTATTAATTTATATCATGAGAAAACCCACCTTTGCACATAGAAGACTACTTCCAATATTTCTGGGGAAAGGAGAATTGCTTTTTTTTTGGTTTTTTGTTTTTGTTTGTTTTTTTTTTTATTAGATACCAATGCCAGGAACTTAAAGAACCGCAACACAGCACTTTTCGAAAGGAAACCACACAGAAAAAAAATTGTCGTTTTAGTACGGGCAATTCCCAGGCCTAGCCAAAGAGTACTCTGAGCAGCAATTCACTACAGGGACACAGAGTTTTCTCAAACTCGACCATCTGTTCAAACTCCCCACTCCTCCTCTACAAAAGCTTCATAACCTCCGGAGCCCAGTTCCAGCGAGGAAAGACTCCTATCCAGGTAATACATGAAGAACAAGACCTAGCACAGCTATGACATTTCTCCTGACCCTGCGGCCACATTATCCCAACCTAAAGATGAGGTAGTACTTTTCTTTGGAGCCTAACTAGTTAAATAGGAACAAGTACTATTCTCCCTAAGGTAGCAGCTGCCTGTTAATGCAGTGCCAAAGTCCATAGTTTCATCTCCTCTTCAGGGCACACTACTAATGCAAAAACAGCAACAGCTGCTAAAAAAAAAAAAAAAAAAAAAAAAATCATGACATGAGCACACACTCCCACTTGAACTATGACTGCATCGTAAAGGCCACGGTCTGGCATATTCAGTGACTTCCTCTGGTCCACCAAGTGGCAATGACTCTTAACCTTTATTTGTACTGGGACTAGTGGTTATTACCCAAAAGGAACATGAAGGATATCCTGAGTACTTATTACAGTGAGATGTGGGATTTTAAAAAAATTAAAAGATTAAGAACTCTAATACGAATCTGAAAAGGGCTGGAAGAGGAATTCAGCTCCTCAGGGAACCGAGGAAACCAGATTGTCTGTATGCATACAGTCCATTTGGTAATTAGGGGCTCTGTTTTCTCTCGCTTCAAGAGGACAGATCTTTCCCCTCAAGGAGGCTGATGTAACATATGCATGTATTACAATTTTATAGCTTACACTCATAAACCTTCTGGTTTCTTATGAGATGGCTTGAACTGGAGAAATATGCTCTGCATAATCCATGCTCTGTAGACTCCCAAGGATCAAAAAGAAATAGACTGCCATGACTGAAACAAAAAGGAAACATCAAAAAGAGTTGAACAGTATTAGAACTCATACTGCTTGTAAAACTAAGCAATAGGATTAGAAAAAGCACTACACGATTTAAGCAAGGTCCCTAGATGCATCCTCTTAGTAAGCAATAATCAATACTGAGGATGAGAGACTGCATTCTTCGATTGACAAAGTATTCAAGGCTCCCTTATTTGTCTCTGTGATCAGTTTCCATTTATTTAACACAACACATGGAGTCTGTATTGTCTCCTGTCAGCAGTGCAACTCGCACAGATCCCAGGAAGCCCTCATTTTTACTGCTTCCAAGATTGCATGTCATTCAGCTGAAATGCACAGGGATTCCACCCAGGCAGACGGATTCCCAAACATGAATATTTTAACAGGAAAGGAATCCTGTTCTGTTCAGCGATTGCCAACAGAAAAGCACTGACACTTTCTTGAAAACTCTGATAGTCCTTTCTGCCCTTGGGAATATGGAGTACATGTAACTAAAACACTCTTATCTGGCTGTTAGCTGGAAGACTAGCTCCGAATAGTCCCACCTCTTCTTCCAAAGAACTTCTCTGGAACAAATCGTGGATAAAATAAACTCTTAATGCTCTACAGAGTATCAGCTGCATTCCAGTGTCCAAGCCAGATCCCTTGAGAGAAAAAGTAAAAAGAAAGCTGCTTGATTGTCAGAGAGGAAAGCACCGCTGAAACAGCTAAAAGACATGTTTAGTTCTTTTTAAAACCTTTAGCTGTAAAGGGGTACACTCGCAAAATGCTCATCACAGCTAAAATTTGCTTCTGTGGCCTTATACAACTAGAGATGATGCAGTGTGCAAAATGACAGGCATTAGTAATGAAAAGGACAACAGAAACCCACCCAGGTGCTTCTGAGAGAAAGAAGCCAAGCACTTAAGCCCTCACAGTAAGCTGGACCTCACTATCAAGTGAGTTTCTCCAGTCTATAGGAGACCTGATAAAATCACACCTGCAGAACCATAATTCATGACTATAATTCACAAGGAAAACTGAAAATCCATTTACATTTATTAGGAGATGGTTGTGCACAATTTCTCATCTTATTCAAAAAGTCTACAAATAGAGTTTAACACTTCTGATTGCAAGCAAATGTTTGTTCAACGTTCTTAGTTCGGTAAGGCCATCGAGTGCCTTGTTACACTTTCAAGATTTAGTACACATTTGTCAGTTCTTTACTTTCCTCTGGTAACAGTCCCACTGGAATACTAAGGAGAGTTCACTAAGACACTTTATAACAGCAGCTGAACTTGGGTTACACAAATTCAATTCTGGAATATGCCTCAAAAGTAAATTATTCTAGGCAATTTTCCACTTTAAAGATCTTAAAGCAACACTGCCAAAGGCTTTATCCCCTCCCCCCTGCATTTACACTACCACCACTATGAGCTCGCACTCCATAGAGCCGTATGTCCAAGAATATCAAAGCACTTCAGAGAGGGCGGCACCATTTCAAAAAGTGGTAAACTTGAGCTGGAATCCTACTTATAAAAGAATATATTTTTTTCTTCGTCTTATGTTTACAAAAGGACAAGCGTCAGACTAAACCTTAGTCCCACCTCTGACTGCCTGTAATTTTCTCACATGCAATCCCACCACTGATTCAGGAACTCTGATTAATTACAATGCTCACAGCTGAGTTTCCTCTCTGGAGAGGTGAGCATCTGCTACAGCCAATTATTTTCAGATGGAAGCACTGGTCAAATTTTAGGTCTGCCACAATCTTGAGAAACACTTGATTGGCAAGTCACTACCACAACTAATGTAATTTGATAATGCACTTGATCCCATGTTGGTTTAAAAACTGTAATAGACTACATGTGCATCTCTCTAAATTCTCTCAGAGCTGAAACTACATAGCTACGGTGAAGAAATTCTAGTTTGGCCTTAAGCAGAACCTTTTACAACATTATTTTAACTTACTATTTTTATTTAGAGCACTAATTTTATAAAGGTTTTCAGTTTGCAATTCTTACTGAAGAGGTGAGCGGCAAACATGAAAATGTATGTACAAGTGTTAGTATTCTACCAGAATGCTGTACTTCCTTCTTAAAAATGTCCTTAATAAAGCATTAGGCATGCCAAACAAACTTTTGTAAACAAAAGATAAATTATGTTCTGCTCTGATTATAGCCAGATACATATTCTCATAAAATAAACATTCTTTTGTCATTTTCCATGGCCCACACATCCATATATATGAGGTAAACCACTTAAAAACATCAATAATATATAAACCTCAGTACTCAACAGGAACCTCAGGAAAAAAATGTAACTGAGTAAGATGTCAATATCAAGAAGTGACACTTTGTTCCACTGCAAAGTGAAACCAATTTATTTGTGCTAAATGAATGGAAAGAATGTATTCAGAATACATTTCTTTATACATTGTACCGGCTTAGGCTGCTAAATAAGCATTCGTTAGTGCCATGTTGTGCTACTTTCTTGTACTCTGTTTCTACCAAGCAATAACAACATTTTGGCTGTTACGCCAATATATTCCTAGATGCTCATCTTACCTCTTAATTTTCTAACAGACTTTTGAACATTTAGAATACCTGTTCAAACTTTGCATCAGGGGAATCACAATTAATATACTTTAACAAGAAAAAAAATTATCATCAGCTGTTCTCTACAATCACATTGCCTTCTGCAGCAAAAAAATCAAAGAGCACACTTTAATCAGCTATCAGTAACCTGTGGGCAGGACCACACTTACCGAAGTTAATCGTGACAGATCACACAGTATGGGCAGCTTACAGGTTAACGTAAATGTCAAGTGAAATCATCAAATCTTAAGGTCCACGAATTGTACATTCCACAGACTCCAACAAGCCAGTTCCCTCACTGTAAAATTCAGACTGTACCATACATTTGAGGTGCTTTTAAACAGAGGAAGTATGGATGTGTCCTGTGTGCTGAATTAAGCTTATTTACTACGTAATACAATAGAGTATGTGTCTTGGGCACTGATTAGGGTGTCTGACTCACTTTTGCACTAGAAGCTGTTATTTCAAATGACTGAAACGTAGTGCTGATTTTCCATAAGCTTGGTAAACACTGTAATATTTCAGAATTTATCATATCATGCCTTTAATTTTCTGCAAATTGTCATGAAAAAATATAAAAAGGTATCCCTTTAATTTTATAAACCTAAAAGCCAGGAAAATGAAGCTTTGGAGCCAAGCAAAACGACATAATGCCGTATTACCAAACAGAGTAGCAAATGTTCCAGCCAGAGAATGGACATACATGTAGTTCAAGTAAACACTGATGGAAAACTTTGTTAAGTTAGTGTTGTAGACCCACAACACTGGCTGCATTTTATACAAACGTTTACAACACAATTAACAGTGAAGCCTATATAACCTCAGTGCAAATAAGTCAAATCCAAATATGCCAAGTAAGCCTTTGGCTTTTTAGTAAACTGCTCCATGTTATGAGTCCACTTCTGACATACAGACTGCTGAGCACATGCACTAAGGCTGAGAGGAGGGATGCACTGAATGTTGAAAAGTGGCTGACTGCGATGCTGCGGATTGGACCGTAGGTTGCACAGGTGGTGGAGGTGGTGGCGGAGGTGGCTGCACTGGGGTCTGCGTGTTTGGAGAAGGAGGAGGAGTGGGACGTTTAAATTTGTCGGGGCTGTTACTTCTTCGTGGTGAAGGCCTCTGCAGAACAAATATTGAAATTATGTTTAACACACTCCTGAGCAACTTTAGGTACAAATCCTGTAATCAATGTACTCAGCTTGGCAAAGGAAGAAAAAAAACCAAACCATAAAAAAAATCTGAACAGTTATGTGTGAAGGATCCATTTCAAAACATTTCAAGAATCACAATACAACTTTTACATAAAATAAACCTTACTCTGAAATGGATTAGCAAAGGAAAGGGGAAGTACTTTTGAGATCAAACAAACACGCATTCCTTCCTGTCAGCTTGCAGGAAATGAACACAAGACACATGTCCTGAAGATACGTTTACTTATAGATGACCAGCAACCTAAAAAGAAGTGAGAGGTGCTGTAGAGACAGCACTTCCCCGTTGTGCTTGCCCAACCAGCTAAGTGCTGATGAACCTTTAACTTTACACTGCTGGCATATGAAGTCCAACTACATAGTACCTGAGTGTGGGTGGGAATGTTTCGATGCCAGAGAGCCTGCCCAGAATCTCTAGCTTTCTGAAAGACTCTTTAGCCTGCACACTGGAGCAAGACCAAAGCATAATACAAGTTGTTCTCTGGAGAACAAAGAAAGATTACAACCCTTTGAGCTGCAGGAGTGAAGCATTTGTTAGAGAGCTCCCCTCGACAGAAGCCACAGATTTTCAACAACCTGCACGTTTAAACACAAAGATTTAAAACCCACTTTATCTTTACAAACCAGTGCAGGGGTCTAGGGCTGGGGCGGGGGGGCAGGGAGGGGGATGTAAAAATATAAATTACACTGCACAACACTAACTTCTGCACTCTTGAAACCAAAACGCTCACTACTTACCGGTCCAGTCAGCATTAATCAAGAACCTCAAGACGTGACAAACCACCCACCCACAATTAATAATCAAACAAAGGTGATCAACTCTGGGGAGAAGCATGATTACAGTGCTACACCAAATGTACTACAGGTAAAGTAAATTTATTCTGTAATCGAGATCAAAAATGAAGAGTCAAGAATCAAACTGCAGTTTAGTCAAATAATGTATATTGTATCTATTTTTCTCCACAACTATGTACAACAGATTAACACTCTATGCGAAAAGCCAAGGGATTCTTGACAACTGACTGATGTCTCTGAAACACTTAAAATCATTTATTGCATTTGCATACATCTAATAATATGAAGGGACCTGGTTTCACTATCTAGACAAAGCCAAGAGCTACTTATCAACACCTTTCTCAAAGCAATTAGTATTTTGTGCTGAAGATGGTCTTTTTCATAGTGACCCAATGTGACATGAATTAATTTACAGTTTCAGAAAGAGCAGTATTTCACAGAGACCGACCAGAACAAGTTCCTTGAAAAAAAACTTATAAAATTAGGTTCCAGGTTTTCCAGAAGCGTGAAGATCTTCCTGTGACTAACTCATGTGACACACAGCAGAGGGCTGAACCCGGACCAGGATTCTACCCTCCCGCTGAGCTCCAGCTTCCCTCCTGTTCTACCCACTGTTGTACCGCTCTCACCACTCATCGCTCAATGAAATTAACAATTACCTTTGCATGCTTACCTAAACGATTTTAGAAGCAGGCATATTTTAGCATTCTACTAAAAATTCTATTGAAACATGTTTTCACATCTGAGAATGACAAGTATATGCAAAAACCTTGTAGGATATTCATATACTACCATACCTGTTGAGAAAAATCAAAATGGCATTGATACAACTATAAGCTATTTTGCCAAATGGATAATATTTAGGCTCTGTTTGCTCATTAAACTCCACAAAATTTAGAAGAAACACTATTAAGTTGAAATGCATCAAACATCAGAGATAAAAAGGAAATAAATCCAGTTGAAAGATATAAGAAATTGTCCTAATAAATGTTTATATTAACTCTCTTCTTTGCCAATGAGAACAGAAAATAAGAGTTAACTGCCTGTTACAGTGACATGGTGGTAGCATTGTGTGTCATCCTGAAGAAAACCTGAGCTTGGAGCAACCTCAGATGACTCATCCGTCAGATGGTGGAGACTAGGAGAAAAATGAAAGCAATGTTTTTACTTCCTGGGATAGGCTTAGTAGCTTAGAACATCACTTCTCACACCCTGCCTGCTGATCCAATAAGATGATACCTATTACTGTCCTTAAGATGATAATACATCCTATTCTTTTGCAGAAAATAAGGTTCTCCAAAAAGAATCAGTTTCTGAGGGGTGAAGAGGAAAATCAGGGTTGAAGAAAGCAGCAATAGATATCTTGGAGTTAGGAGACAAAAACAAACATTTACAAAAATGTTTTGTAAAAAAGCTTAAGGACAAGCAATCATAACTTTAAAAGACCAAACTGATGTTGGCAACAAGTATTTACTATTTTAAATACTTACTGTAATACCATGGGATGGTCCCATATGTTGCACATGAAGGCCTGGGGAATTGTAGTAAGACATTCCAGCTCTAGTCAATGAAGTTGGTGGTGTGAAACCAACTGTGTGACTTGCATATGACAGACCTAAAAATTGTTAAAACAAGGTAACATCAACATTCTTGTTTATATTACAAACTAAAGTGTAAAGTTTTAAAAATCTTTTTAGTTGTGAATCAATGATAGGTTAATAAATGGTACCTGCTGCCAGATTAGACACCTAAAAAATAGCCATTGTACTGAAAAGCATGATGTAAAATTAATTTCTTTTCTTGCAATAAACTACCGTATATTTCAAAACATACATTACACAATGTTAAAGATAACTTTTTACTTAACATAAATCGTGTAAGGTTCCCCTGGCAGCCTAGGTTTAGTCCACAAGTATTTCCATCCAGCCTTCCATTTCTCCCCAGAGGAGATGGCTCCCTGAACAAAATACAGTCTGAAGAAGCAGAGAGGTTGTGCCTGGAGAAGCCATCTAGCATTGGGCCACCACAAGTTTCCACAAAGAAACTGGATGTAGGTGGCTACTCCAAGGCATACCAGATCTGTACCCAGGCTTCCTCCTATTTTGCCTCGGCGTTTATAGGCTGGGAGCCAAAGATCTTTGGGGCTGTGAAGTTAAAACATTCTGGGATTAGTTGCTAGCAGGACTAGGCCAGCAACTAACATTTAAAACTACAACTTGTTTTATCCACATTAAAGAAAGCCTAATATTAAAAAGTGCAAGTATCTAATTCTCCCTAAATATTTCCTTTCTCTAAGAACTAATTTATAAAAATCCTAATATTAAAAAGTGCAAGTATCTAATTCTCCCATCTAAATATTTCCTTTCTCTAAGAACTAATCTATAAAAATGCAAAGTACCTGTATAGCTGACCAAAGCAAACATAAACAGCAACTGCTAAGTGCTTAAAGTTCAGACCTTGAAGTGTTCTGAACATTTTGAGTATTTCCCATAACAGCACATTTTTCAAACCCTTTAGCTTATTATTGCCTTCTGACAAAAATATCAGTAAGGTAGGAGACAAAACTTTTCTCACGTGTTTAGTATTAGACGCTAGCAACTGCTTTGGAGAATTATGACCAAAAACATTTCTAAAGATCTGTTAAACATTTGTAACACCACATTTGATTTAACAGTTTTCACACTTCTTCAATACTAAATCAAAGCAAAACAGTGCCACTGCAGCTACAGTGTGCACCAACACCCGGATTTGTCCTTAACTGCATGTATCTGTGTTTGTGCCTGCAATTGATGAGACAAGATCTTGGGGATGGGAGGACCAGCCTCAAATCACTAATAAAGTCATATAAGAAAAACATGCAAGTTTGATTCTGCTACATCCGCAGTGTATGTCTGGTGCAAATTACGAGTGACTCCAATGGAATCACTGTCACTTTAGAGTAGTTAAAACAATGCAGACTAACAAAATTAATCTGCTTTTTGACTATACAATCTAATTGCCTGAACAGCATGTGTTTTATAACTAAGCACTTCTGTAAGCACAAGGACGGAAACAAGTCGATGTCCAGGGAGGTGACAACATGCTTAAGTTGGAGACTGTCCTGACAGGAGCCCAGAATAGTAAAAGGCAAAAAATAGGCTTTAAGTCACCTTCGCAACATTACAATTTTGGACTGCTTTGGGATAAACCAGCTCCAAAAGTTTTACAAACGCAAGTCTACATGGCAGTCAAAGAAGTGGTAACAAAGTAGTGCACATACATCCAAGGCAGCTCATCTCTGCAGCCCAAAATCTCTATCTAGCCTAACTGCAGAAGCAAAGCATAGAACAGTTTGTCTACACTGAAAACTAATTGGTAATTACAGTAACTAATCCCCAGCTGCCTAGGAGTAGAAATACTTTCACAATCTACAAAGGTCCACACACTGTGCTAGAAATCTCAGCAATACCTCAGCTTGAAAGAGTCCTTAAAAGCAGCATCTCAAGCCATGCAAGCACAAAAGGCTCTGGGATTCAGAATCTGACCAGCTATCCATATGAAATTGTAGTGTTTCTAACTGGTTTCAAATTATGTTTCTACAAATTCAGGCACATCATTTCTCAAACGAAACATGCCAAGTCATACAATTACTTGATGCAAAATATAGCTGTCGTATTATCCTGTGCTGATACTTTTGACTGTGCACTACTTTAAAGTACTCTCAAAACCCATTTGTTTTGATCTATTACTGCATTCATATATACTAGACAGCTGGACAAAACTCCCTATTGATCTCATTAGTTCTCTAACAAACTGCTACTTCCATTTTTTTGAAGTCTGAAACTTCCCAATTGTGGATATTAATTTATCAGATGTGAAGGAAAGTAATGCAGCTGCAGAAGGGCTAGGCTGGAACATTTACTGTACCAACATTACCAAAATTGTGAACATTGTTGGAAACGATCGCTTCATCTGTGCTATTTTTAACTCTGCTTCAGACTGTGTTTCAGCATCCCCTGTCTGTGGGATATAATTCCCAATAGAACACAGCACTCTTGTATCAACTAGCAATGGGAAATAAAGCCCACAGGGAACAAGGAATGCCCTTCAGTCCCGGTGTAGGAACAAACTGACAGAACACTCCTGCACTGACCCATCAGCATCTAAATTGGATGCATTTCTAGGATGCAATGTAGGATGCAAGCCTGTAAGTTACCAGATAATTTTCCCTATGCATACTTTTAATTATAACTATTGTGTGGACTGCAGATACAATGTGCAGTTGAACGCTGTGTTATTCTGAAGGCTGCACATGTCTGACCACGAATGTCCAAAGAAGTTACTCCAGAACAGTTGTTAGCATGGCTACATTTCTGTACACCCAGTTACAGTAAAGAAAATATAGATCATTTTCTTGGTAACATTCCTTGCAAAACATTGAAAGTCAAGTGATTTGGTTCATTTCAGAAGCCCCCAAACCTCTTGAAAAACTGATCATAATGCTTACATCTAACACTGTAACATAACTTTTGGTCATAGCTAGTTTCCACACATGCTTGCTCCTTTTGCAACACCTGGATGAAAACTATTTTGAGTCCTTCTGAAAAACTAAAGTCAATCTTGAAGAAATTAAAGAGCGTAAAGACATTTTATACATTCTAGCAGACCTGTTTAATAAAATGTCTCAATCCCATCTTACAGAATGTGTGGATATAGAGCACATCTCATTTGCCCCCGCTGTAGGACTCCGTCCAACAGGTTGTAAAGGTGAACTTGGGAAAGCAAGGCATGCAAGATTCACTTCATGATGCACGAGTTTGTGATTGCCACATAACATCCATGGCCAACAACTTTTAATGAATGCTCAAGCACTATTTTAAGAGATTTTAAGTTTCACTCAATAAATGTGTTAGTAACACAAATACATTTCCTTAAAAAAACTGATGTATACATTCAGTAATTAAAAACTCAGAAAAGGTTAGTTTGCCTTTGTTATACAAAGTACTAGAGACAGGAATTCTTAATTTTGTAGTTATTGTTTTACAACAGAAAATAGCAGAAGTACAAAAGCTATTTCCCTACTAAAGAGAAATGGAAATTTACTTTTTTCAAATGCTTTTAAGATTAGACTTGGGGGTGGAGGAGGGGAAGAAGAGAGAAAAAGAGAGAACAAAAAAGAAATAAAAGTTCAAGCGACAGCTACTTAACTGACCTTTAATATCTGTTCCCAGTGTAAAACAGAACCATCCAAAAACATGCTGCACTAGAAGACATCTAAGGCAAAAATGTTCTTACACTTACAATGCAGTTTTTTTTCTCCAGACTAGCTTTGAAAGGCTACTGACCTAAATATATTAATAGGGCACGTTACTATGCGATGCATACAATAATTTTAGAAACTGGGTTAAATATTTACCAGGTGATATAGGTCTGCTAGAACTTGGTGAGGGTGTATAAGGGATAGGACTGGACACAGTGCGAGGTCTTAATCCTTGTGCAGACATCTCATTAAAATATCTAACAAAAAAAGGCAAAGAATAATTAGATCAAACCTTTTAAAATGTGCCATGTTTTAAATGTTTCACTGTGGTTTTTTTTTTCAATTCCCGTAAGAATCACATTAGATTAATGAAGGACCAGTCACCTTTAGGAAGTCACGACAGGAACTCTCATCATTGTTGAAGGTTCAGATACTGGCTTAATTTAATGCAACTAGCTGGACTTAGTCATTTGCGGTTGAAACCATACAAGCTGCATATGATTAGAATAGTACATATTAAGGCCAGAGGAATAAATCACGTCATCAAATCTGACCTATACCACATACTTGCATTTCATATATCATTTCTACATGGAACTCAATAGCTTGTCTGGCTGGAGAGTATCTTCCAGAAAGGCATTCAGCACTAATCTGAAAATCAGAAATCATGAAAGGGGGGGGAGGGAACCCAAACCATTAAACTATTGATAATTTGTTCCAACACTGATCAGCCTCACAGTTAAAAATAAGCCCTGTTTCCTACCTGAATCCCTCTGGTCTCAATGCTTAGCCATTTGCTCATTGTGTCTTTTGCCACTGGAACAGAGAGACATTTTGAACCCAGGACTTTTTCCCACTAAAGATAATTCTAGGTTGTGTTGCAAGACACCTGCCACACTTCACTATGATAAACCGAACAGATAAGAACCGCAGGCAAGGCATTTTTCCCCACCTGTAATAATTTTAGTGGTATTTATTTGTACTTTACTCACTGAATACAGCAAAGCTTCTTCACAGCCATGCCATCAAGTGCTTTATAAAAGGAAATAAACCCCACACCAATTGCTCCTACTTGCCACTTACTTTTTACATCTCAAAAGTAATTTTACGTATTTTTTCCACAGCACTAGGCTGGCAGCTTTCAGGTTGACTTGCTTATGCACTCTCCACCTAGATTTTTCAGTCATTGTCTAGATTAGAGGTTCCCCGTCTCACTTATTCTTGCACATATGGCTGCAAATCAGTGCACCTAGGTATATATTACTGTATCTAGCTGTGTTTCTTTACTGGACATAGCAAAGCAGCAGGCAAAACTAGCTACCCAACAGCCCTTTGACTCCTGCTTGTCTCCCTTTCTACCACTGTGTTCTCAGAAATTCTTAGTAGCTGCATTTATTTCCAAGATCATGGAAAAAAAGCCACAACATGAGCAGCATTAAAAATATTCCTATTTGATGGAACTCTCAATGATGACTACTACACCTAACACAGGCAGTACACTGTAGTGATACCAAAGTTGGTTTAAATTTGGGTAGATCAGGTAATAAAAGTAGCTGCAATAGAGAACAACAGAAAATTAACAAACTGGCAAATTAACGTTTGATTAAATATAAAGTTTTCTAAAGAGCTACCAGCAGCAAGGTTAGCAAAATTGAACTGACTAGGCTACCTCTGCAGCACACGGTAACTTGTAATGCAGACAGTATGTGTATTACAGCAGTGGTCTGTGATTTAATCTTATTTTATTCTACACGAAGACAATTTTTTGTAATTCATCCTAGTACCTGGATCAGGTGAAATGGCACAGCAGCACACTGTTAGCATGCTTCTAATTTCAGGTATTTCCCTACTATTCCAGAGGATAGGATTGAGAATTGAAAATACAAAGCTATTGCTAGTCAGGAGGAAGAAGTTTTGGGAGAGCTGTGTATTTTGTATTCAGTAAAGTATCTTCATCTACCCCCATCTACAAAAAATAAGTATCAGCTCACAGAATGCAACTGAAAAAACTGGATATCTGAACCATCACCACCATCATTTTTAGGAAGACCATGCAAGCTGACAAAAATTTATATTTTAAAATCACTACTGCTTGTAGTTCCACAATTATTTTGTCTACCCAGTTCTCCTAAGACTAATCACTCTAATACCTGCTTCGTCCTTCCCTTTACTTTGCATTACTTACTGCAAATACCAGTTTTGGAGTGATTCTGTCACACCTTTGTAGTACCAAGAAAAATGAACATGACAATGAAGTTTCTTAGAAGTACAGAATAGTTAATCGATTTATCCTGCATTTTATTGATTGCCACTATCTACAATTGATTGACAAAAAGATTATTAGGATACTCTACATTTTTGGGTTAATGCTGGTAATTCACATAGATTCAGATTTTGACTGTATTTCCATTACAATGTAAATATTGGCAGAAAAGATTAGTCTAATAAAAGTAGATTTAAACACCAGAATCGTGTGTTTCTAACTATTTAACTCATATAGTATTCACTACATCTTAATACAGGAGGCTACTGCAATATATGTCAGTTGCGTAGTATTTCTTTAAAATGAAAACACTACCTTGAACTTTAAGGGTGCTTCTTGAAACACATACCTGGTACTTTGTTTCTGGTAAATTATGGCTTATAACAAATATATTGATGACCCAAGAAGAAATATCTCAGTATCAGAAGAATACACAGCACAAGGTAACTTTTTTTTTTTTAAAGGACCACTATAAATCCAAAATACTGTAAAACAGTACAACAAAATAATGAGCATTCGATAAGAAATAAGAATGTCTTATTCAAAGTGTACTTAAAAATCTCTTTCAAGATGTAACACTGTCATATGACTATGATGTGAGAAAACACTAAAAGGCATCATATCAAACCATGAAAAATTCAAGACTATCTGTAAGGTCAGTGCAAGCAATGCAGCTCCCAGCAGAGAAAAAAAATCAAGGATGTTATGGTTTGGACATCAAGAACAACCCAACAGTTCTGGAAATGCTTCCCCTCTCTAAGGCTTTACACAATATCCCTTTGTATTTGGCTGAACACATTTTACTTTCTGCAAAGGATGAATTAGCCCTAAGTAAGTAAGGATGTCATTCATACCTCACAGAATTCCTTGCAGTCACCAAGTTAGGGGCAAAACAAAGGTACTATGATCAAATTACCCCGAATCTCAACTCCACAGCTATATTTATTTCAATATACATAATCAAAATCCTAAACAATCTTCAGATACAAGTATTTTCTTTCTCACTGTTAAAACCAGTGCAATTTCTATACAAGTTTGATACAATTCTACTGAAGATGTTCCTGGACCATGCTGAAATTTGGTACCTATATTAAACCTATATACAGGTTATTTCCATATATATTTATTCTATAATATTAAAAAATAAGTATAAGTATTGATTAATAAGCTCAGTGCCAACATATCTGGATGGCTAGAAAATACAAACCTTTCATCGTCCATTTCTAAGCTGGATTCACTTTCTGACAGTTGCCTGCAGAGTGCTTCCCTACGTTCCATTTCCCTCTGTAATTTTCTTTGAAGTCTCAAGTTTTCTTCTCTCATATGCCGCTCCTCTTCTAAATATTGTGCCATCTTCTCTGAATCTGAAATTCAGAATTTTGTCAGAATTTGATTAAAATTCAATTTCGCAGAGGCGCAAATATGTTGTGCCTAATTTTACTCCACTACTTCAAGAATGAGGATGTAGAAAATGCTTGGGATGGATCACTCAAAATTCTTATCTTTAAGTCATTAGTTCAAAGCCTAATTCAGAACAATAGCTACTAAAATAAATTACTGGTTGACAGCAAATGTGGAAATAAAAGGTAAAAAGCAAAAAAGGTGTTAAGTATTTACTTAAATTTGAAAATAAAGGAAAAAAGTCATGAAGAAAACAATAAATCAAGACCATAAAGAAGAAATGCAATGATTCCTGCTCCATTAAAATAATGCTATTCCATGTTTACAAAGATTTTACTGCAACACACAGCAGTTATTTTAAAGGTATATTTCCATTTCGAAGGAGGAAGCACAAAACAAACTCTGAAACCCGAAACACTGAAACATATTAAATTGCTAACTTATGTCTATTCTATAGCATTCTTTCAATTATACATTTTATTATAGAGATTGGCCAGCAAAACATGTACTGACATGAAAAGCCAACGAGTGGATTACCCTTTACATCGAAGGGCAACTCGTGTTTGCAATTCTAAACAAGTTCAGCAAATGTCACTTAAATGGTCTGGTATCACAGGCTATTTAAAGTGATAAAATTAAATTATGGAAAGCTGCGAAGCATTTTGACAGATTACTTAAATAAAATGAAACATATGATGAAGACTTAAAATACACAAAGCGTATTTTGTGAGGTCTTCTAATGTTTGATGAAGTTTACAGTTAATTCCTTGATATTAAAAGAAAATAATATGATTTATCATGTTGTGTGATCAATTCTTTATGCAGCATCCTTCAATCAAAAGAATATTCCTGGTTTAGAAGACTGTTCCCAAACTACCAACAATACATGATTTATCTCTTCTGTGGAAATACCACTTCTAAATGAAACTGTATCACTTATTTAAAACTATTATTATACCAAAAGAGTTCCTAGACTAGCAGTAAGTACTTCAGGAATACGAACTGTAATACCAATACCAGAATTTAATAAGCAGATTTTATTAAGTATATATCAATATATTAGGGGTTCTCTAATGACCACATACTGCAAACACAGATATGCAAACTGTATTTCAGTTTCATCTTCTTCTTGCAGGCTAGTACATCCACCATTTCTATCAGTGCTGTTATTCATATTACAGCTACCTAGGTCTTATTTTCAATGACTGACTTCAAATGCTTCTAAATTTTTACTCTCAATCACAATTGCAAAAAAAGAAACCTCTTAAAAATAATAAAGAATACTTGAAATGAAATTAATTAGGCTAGATTTGTACAAAGAGTACTTTAAATCTAAGGCCTTGCTCTCGTTCTGAAATCCAGTAAGTGAAGGCTGCAGTGCAGAATTGGCAAGTACAAAGATTAGCAGTCCTTATCTTTTAACTGACACAAATTATTAATACCACAAACTTGCACACAAGGCCTCTGCAAAAGAGCACTCTCCCATCATCTCTGTCTTTAAGGAAGGCTGCTGCGGCTGGCAAGCTATTTCTCTAAATGGGAACGGTCAAGAACAGCACCCTAGAGGGGGAGAATATTGCCTGTCTCTCATTCGCCCAAATTTTTCTGTCTATGTGGTTAGGTATCTACTTACCTATCAATTGAAATGCTACTGACTAGGAACTAGGCAGAACTGATGAAACGTGGATAGAAATTTTAGATTTAGCATGAAGGCATGGAGGATTTGCCTTGCAAAGATCACAGGAAGGCTCAAGTGACCTTCCTACCAGCTGAGACCATGTGCTCAGAGTCGTAGCCTCTTCTCTTGAAAGGCAGGGCAAAAAGCAGGCTTCCCACATCTGGTGAAGGGTCCGTGACACTTTTCACAACAGAAACACAGACTTCTACGCAACTACTTATTCTGTCCACCTTCAAAGCAATCTCGCAATAGGTAAGAACAAAATAAGATTATTTGTTCTGCTACATTGTGAAGTCAAATAGCTGACTGAACAATTAGTCTAACACAGCTACAAACAACTAAAGGTAGCTGCAATCATTAACAAGTCAAATTCTTATATACAACTGAACTTTATTTTGCTAGCTGTTCTTTTGAATAATTCTTAATTTATAACAGGAGTCTTACAAAGTAGGCCATAAGAATGTTTTGAAAAATCTGTAAGTTAAAATATTGCTAAGCCTCTTAAAAAAAGATAGAAAACTTTTTTCTGGCCCAAAATACTCAAGAAATTTCTGTTGAGTCTTCCAGGCGCCCTTCTAGTAAAGCTAAAAACACACCCAAAACTGCAGTATAAATACATCAACGAGCACTAATACTGCAATTATGAAAACGTTTGAATATAAACCTGCCCTGTTTTTTCCACTCCTACCTTAAATTCAAACTCATAAAAGTATATATAAAAATCTTACATTATACAAAGTTAAAAATATTTAAAACAAGTTGTTTACTCACGCTGTAACTGTGCAGCCCTCAGTTGTTTCTTTAACCTCTCCACTTCGTTCTTTAAAAATCTGATATGTCTCATCATATTTTCTGGAGAATCTATCTCCATTGATATGTCTCTGGGTGATGGTGGAGCAGATACTGGCTGGTCTAATTTCTCCTGCAAAATTCTGTATGAAAAGTAGTTCAAACTTTACCTTCGATTCTAATGAAAACAGACCCCCGTAAGTCCCCCAGAAAGCCACTTCAAGGATTCTGATAGGTATGCAAGATTTATTTTAACTACTGTTTTGGGGGAGAGAATTTTGGGATAATTTATAATGCTTTCTTTTTTAACTCAAAATAAAAAAAGGTAAGATTTGTTGTCCAAGAACAGATGGATTTTCTAAAATATTCAGAATACTAGAAAATATTCTAAACTACTTAACCCACAAAATCCTTTCTAAGCAAATTCATTTAATCTCTTATAAGTTTTTGCATTTATGTCCTTAGAGGAAGAGAGGAAGAACACATATTCAAGATGAAAATATCAGTGAAATACATCTACGGTGAACCACAAGCTTTTCTGCATTTCACCATCACGAAAAGAGAAAACTTCACAGACATTTTCTGAAGCACAATCAAATAGTCTCCCCCCTTTTTTTTTTTTAAAATCTCCAAACAGAAAGGTATTCCATATAGTCAAGGTTTCAAATACCTCAAATAACTGACTGTAAATTAAGGAGTAATGAACTTTTCTTATAATGAAATAAGCATATGGTAGATATTACATGTTCCAAATGATGATTTCTGAAGTTAACATATGAAGTACTTTTCAGCCTCAAAGCGTGAAACTGTTCTTCACTAGAAACACGTTGACTGGCCAGATCCAACTCTGCCCTGGAGAGCAGGGACAGCACTACGCAAGCACAACTCTTTGCATGGTCTGATATTCACAGGTACTGTACAAAGTGCTACTAAAGCATGGTCTGACTCCACCACAGCTCCTCATCAGAAGGCACACAGTCTGAGATAAATTAAACCAAAAATGGTTTGGCTTAAAGGCAGCTTTAAATCTAAGATGCACAAAAATCCTACCAAAGGCCCATCTTGCTATGGATTTACCACTCTTGAATATCACATGTAGCTCTTTAGAGCACCTTCCACACAGCAGGGCTCTGTAAAATAAAAGTACAAAACCTGCAGTTCACCTAAGGCTCGGGTGTTTTCTGAGGCCCCGGTCAAGATTCACAGTCACACTAACATAACTGTCCTTAAACGTGTAGAAGTAAGGTATTAATCAACTCTTCTCCCCTACTCGCCCCAAACCCAGAGTTCTTATACTATGGCATTAAAGAGAAGGTTACTTTAACACATATTTTTAATTTTAGCTCTCCCAGGACTATTAAGTCTCACTGTCTTAACTTCTATTGAAGAAGCAGCAGGAAGTGTCAGTGACACAAGTCCACACCACTGAGAAAAAGCTGAAGTTTTCTTTGAGCAGACAGGGGAAAATACAAGAGCTTCTCATATAACAAATACACTAAAATACCGCGTTTATTTTCTCTGGGCCATGAATATAAAGCTGACCCCAAATCAGAAGCTTTAAAAAGAGTCTATCAGCAGTTAAAAAATTTAGCAAATTCCTTCAAGCTCTTCCAGGTCATTTCTTATACTATTTAGTTTCATCTATTTCAAGCAATCAAGGATGTGGCGTCATGTAAACAAAGAGCTTTACAACTGCTTTAACTTCCAGGTTTTCACAGATCAAACAACACTTATGGGACAGAGATGAACATATTTAATCCAGAACATTATGTATTAAATTGTATCCCTCCCACAGTTGCAAACACACTGCAACAAGACAAACCGTTTTTCTGCTTCAAGCTTATCCATCCTTTTCCAGAGACGATTCACTAGTGCTTCTTGTTCTTGTTCCAAAGTATTTTCAAGGTCAATCTTCTCACGTCTTAGCTGGAGAGGAAAAACAATCAATGAAAATGATGGAAATGTATTTTTTGCAAGGAACTGTCATTAGAAAAGATCATTGCTATAGCAACGCCATTTTACATGATTCTCTATGACAGAAAGGAGAAGGTGAAGAGCCAGTGAAAAAATCAAGACATTCGGGAGTTGCACAGTTGGATCTCCTGAACAGAAATTTTTCTCACAGAACTTGTTGTCTCTGGCCAATAAGGAGCAGCTTGAAACCTGGACACGCAGTCACTGACGACATGACAAGCCTATTCAAAGGCATCTCCTATTCCATGCATCTCAAGTTCAAACTGAACTTACTGTCCACTACACCAGCATTTATTCTTTTGAAAAATTTTAGGCTTTTTTAGTAGAAGAATCACAGTTAAGAAAGCCAGAAATGGAAGAGAAGCCATGTTTGCTTTACGTTAGATAGAGCAGTGATGTAACAAAAATAGTAAAGAAAAAATTACGTGAACTGCCTTAAGTGTTACTGTATCAACCCTTACTAGCAGAAACAAATGTATCTCTATCTTAGCTTGGCTTTATAAAAGCAAACACTTAAATTGACATTCACTTACTGTGTGAATAAACATTCTTAATTCTGCTATAAGCTAATAAAAGCAGATATAATGTAGAACCACACATGAGGAAATCTACTGTTAGTATTTTAGTACAAATACAATGCAAACGTTAATAAGAATACACTACAATACTAAGCGGCACAGCTGATCGTATTCAGTAATGCTGGCAGCTGAACTCCAGGAGTTAGCAAGAATGAAACATATGGGGACAGATCAACACTTTTGCAGACAGAAAATAGCATAGAGGTATTTTTCCCAGCCAAGCCTTAGTTAACAGTCACCACTTCCCTGAAGGGCAAATAATCCCACATCACAAAATGGAAAGACTGAAAACAGGTTAAGTGATTTCCTTGCACGTTTACTGCATCACTGCATGAAGTGCTATTACGGCCTCTAAATCTGTAAGGGCTCTGTGCTGACCACTACCTCGATATTGAGATACCCAAACAAAGTTTAAACTTGCGCACTTTGGGTAACAGTGCAAGTTTAATGAATGTACAACTTTCTTCTTTAAAGCTTACTGTAAGCAAAAATAGACATAGATTGATGAGTAATAGGGAACATGATTAGAAAGAGAAACACTGTTCAGTAAATCTTCCCATGTCTAAGTTTCCAGATGTACATCAACAGTTGAGGGAACTTACACTTGAATAAAAAAGAAATCAGGAGCAAAGTGCTTCAGCCTCGCACGAGGGATGAGAATTTGGATCCTGACCGACACCTGGTTCCCCACACCAACAGGAGTGGTATGAAGGCAAAGGGCTCAGCCCCGGGAAATACAGGGTGCTTTACCTTAGGGCACTGCTCATCAGCCAGTCTGGCCAATGCTTGGGGCTGACAGCGTTCAGAGGGAAGAAAGCACACAAAACATTCTGGGAATCTGCACACAGCGCTTCCGCATTACCAACATGCAGATCTCCACTATCTGTAGAAACACACGATGAAAAAGGTTTGACTGCAGATCACTACTTCTGCAGCAATAGTTTTTGCATCACTTCAGTGCAGCGTGGTTTAGACCCACCTGCTCTGACATAGTCTTTTTACATCTATATTATTGCTCTAGCACCAAACTAACCCACAAAAGCATGCTGGTAAAAATAAATCTATTTCATTTAATGGTAGGAAGAAGAACACACTAGAATTTGAAGACAGAGTAAATTATTTATAACCTTGGGTTTGAAAAATCTAAGATTACATTTAGTATTATAGCAACCATCACCAAGGCAGCAGAGTCCATTAATTAGAAATCTGCATGTAGGTGAGAATGCACAATGGCAAAGTCAAATCATCAGCAGCAACATATAAATGAGCCTTCTGTGTTGCCCTGAAGGCTGACAGACATGCTCTGATGAAACACCAAAGAAACCAGGTTGTGAAAGAGAGATCTAAACCTCGCCATTTCCAGCAATATGAAAACACACTGGAAACAAGTATCTTCCTTTCCTGATCTTGAGTGTTGTCCCAGTTCCTCCCAGTGTCAGGATATTAAAGCTTTGAAGATGAATACCTTGAACTGAACCTACAGGAGAAGCGACTGCAGCTTCCTGACCAGCGCTGTGAATTTAGAGAATAGGTGTATTTGTTCTGTACTAGGCAGTTTCAGGTGTACTCTGAAATGTAGTCGAACTCTAGACAATGAATTTGCTAGGAACATGGTAATATTCTGAGCAAAATTAAGCAGGATGGGATTATATCTCAAGACCAAATCAGCAGCTCTGTCAATACTAGTGTCATTCTATATGGGTTCAAAGTTACATTCCAATCAAACATAATTTAATTTTTACCATCACAACAGAGAAATGTTGCTTGCTTTTTTGGACTTCCCTTCCCTTTAAACTTCCCTTCAGAGGAAGACAAAAATCTCTTTTAACTTTCTTCACCATCCAATTGGATTTCTTCTCATCTCTCTCTCTCTCCTTCACACATACACTCACTTTACTTCAAATGCAGCTAAAATATCCATTGTCTGTGTATTTCTGGATTACCCTTCTTGCCAACTCACTAACAAGAACAACTGGTCCCTGCTGAAATGGAGATCTTCCAAATCAAAGTTGAATATGATCTCTGCCTAAGCCCACTATCCCAAATTTCACTTATCTCGTCTGCCCTGCCCCCACTTTGTAGCTTTAATTCTTTAAGAACATCTTTCCAGAAGATTTGACACATTTCATGGTTTTCTCCTTTCAAAGAAGCAAAGGAAATTATTATTAGCTGTTTAGTTCTTACTTCTAACCTCCTGTCTGCATCAATTCTAGTTTCGACTGTACTGTATGAAATAGAAAAGCAATTAAAAAGAGTAGCAGCAAGACTACACAAACTTGGCCTCTGTAGGACAAAACTGACAGCTATTTATTTCCCATCAAACCACTGAACTATAACACAGAGACATTCAGTTAGTGAAATAGTCACATGCTGCAAATTTTTCCCCATTAGCCTTCAGAAAGAATGTTCTGCCCCTTCAAGCTGACTTAAGAAAATTAAGTCAGGTCACATTTGAGCACTAAGATCCAACTTAATTTTTTATTTATGAATAACATTCCACACAACCATCACTGCTACAGGCTGGCTGCCTACCCATCACCTGTGGCATAAGCAGATTCAGATGAGAGAAAGCAAAGGAGGAAGGACACAAAGCATAGATAATTTATGCTCCATATTTTAAAAATAATAGTTTAGTGAACATATGTTGTAACTATCTGCTCACTGATTACAGTGATAGATCTAGTAATGCAGCCCTAGATTATGTTCAAAGCATTGCTGAAGCCCTCCCCTTCCAAGCCCTGTTTAACAGGTCTCCCAAAGGTTAGTTGAAGCATTGTGGCAATCTCTCTTCCTTAACTCCCTATCTGTACAATAAAGGCAACACTGCTCTGCTCACAACTTTTTGCGTCTTGCTAGGTATGGCACATGCCCCAAAGGCTGTTGCTCCAGCTGGTTAATTAGCACAACAAGCTTTTTTTTTTATTATTTGTGTAAGAGAAGAAAGCACTCAAGTTCAAATCTGACATTTACCATACCTTACTGTAAGAGAAAACAGATGTATACACTGCATTACGTATAAATACACATGGAATTTCTAAGTAAGACTGACAGCCAAATTTAACATCTTCATAAACAAAGTAAATTTTCAAGGTCAGATATTTGAGAGAAAGACCTTTGAGCATCCATGCTTTTTAAACAATCTATCGTTGATATCCAAATGTAGCAACAAGTTTCAAATTTTATGATATCACAAGTCTGCCCAGAACAATGGTATGAAAATAAATACCATTAAGATTTCAGCTGTGGCTCATGCTAACAATTCAAAGACTAAACCAGCTTAATATGTAAGCTTACTTTGCATTTTGATTAAGTGGCTGCCACCACCACCTTGTGGCTAAGAGAGTTATTTCAAGCTCGTGCTAATTTCCATTCTGGTTAAGGATTTGCTGGCAACTACATCTTCCTACCTTTTTATTTTTCAATTTGTTTCATAGATGTCTCCATGTAGAATGTTAGCATAAGAATCAAGAAAACCCAGTTGATCATTAAGACAGTCATTAATTAATTTATCCACAATGTCAACAGAAATAGGAGAGTCATACAAAACTGGCAGAAATTCAGATTACCAGCACCAAAAGAAGTTCCACGTCTGATGAGAACAGCACAAAAATTCAAAGAAATTATGTACTATATTTACACCACCCCAATTATTTGACTTCTACAAGCAGAAAAACTGAAGTTCTTTAACAAGACTGTATGTTTCACTGGTTTGCCTTTTAAGTCAAAAGAACTCCTACTAACACCACTGAGATGCCTTGATGCACGTGCCTCAAATTAGACATGAGCAGTCCTAATGCCTAAACTTCCAGGGGAAATATGACCAAAACAAGTGGTGTTTTAGCTCTGCAATCTTCATAACTGTCCAGGGAGAAAGGGAGTTGGATGTAGTCACATCTCAAATCTTTTTAAGTATACACACAGCTGACATCTCACAGTTCAAGTCCTGTGCTATCCCAGCTGCCACAAAAAGGTGACCTAGAGCACTAGACCACATACATATAATTTAATGCTGTGCTTAACCATCCTCAGAAGTGAGTCCTTCTCACTAGCAGCATGAATGGAAGCTGATGGACAGCAACAAAGAAGCGTTACTTCCAAAAAGGTTGCGTTTGCATAACTCAAAGCTGTCCAGCAGACATGAAGGCCTGCAGTAAGGCCAATACAAGTTACAATGGCCATTAAAAGAAATTAATCAAAGTTTCTCATATAGATTATGTTAATCATTTATTGCTTTGAAAGTCAAACTGACTCTTCTATATTCTTGATATTGCCCAGTTTCTTACATACTTAAAAAATTAAGTCAAATCTAATAGAAAACAAGTAAAAAGTAAGGAGTTACCTGCTCTAGGGTGAGCTGCTTTGAAATTGTATCATTTTCCAGCTTTTTAATCTTCTTCATCAGTTTGTTCACTTGAAATTCCTGTTCCTGTTCTAAATGCTGCTCCAGTTCAGCTTTCTCATGCTGCAGCTAAAAAATTAGGAGACATGGAAGTACTTTAAACACAAAAATAAAAGTAAGAAACATTATGCACCTTTTATACATTTATTTACACGTTTATTCTTACTGCACATTAAACTCTTTACTGATAATTCTTCTCAAAAGACTTCAAAACGCACAACGCACCCAACAGCCCTTCAAAAAGCAACATTTTAAACTGCATTCCATTTACAAAGCAGATGAACATAACCTACATTTCCAAATATTTAATAAAGTCAAATCAAAATAGATACATTGTATACAGCATATAAAATACAGACATTTCAAAAGTGAAAAATCTACCATAATGTTCACAAAAGCATTAATTTTAATCTAAACACATCATCTCAAGAGCATCCAAAGCATAAAACACAGGTCTTAGCACTTTCTTCTTCCAAGCAGCTGAAAGTTTAAAATCATGAAGTCATACTACTGAAATTGCTGTGCAACAAGATAGCAAAAAAAACCAAAAAAACAACCTAATTCCTATTCCTATGCTAGCAAGAATCAAAAGATTTTGATGACATAAAAACACTGGTTAAATCAATGTTATAAATTTCCTTAACACTCAAGGGAAATTTTTGTTCAGTTAATATTTCCAATTAAAAAAATCTTCACTCTCAAAGCTCTCAAGGAGATGGAAACACCCGCCCCCCGCCTTTACATTTTACCATAAATGAATGCTTGGAGTAGAGTCACTTTTAACATTAAAGTCAAAATCACAACGGAATCCCTCTGAGACAGGGATCCAAGTCTTCCTGTGGATAAAACAGTGTGACTGGCACCATGGTATGAGCATGTGAATTTGACTTAGGGAACAGCAAGTATCACCAAAAGACAATGATGTAATTACACCGTACTCTGGCTGTCCACTGAAAACTGCAGGCACTTTTTTCCACCTTCTTATTTTCTAGGCCAGTTGTTCTGGCTATCACATAGCAATACGTAAGATCATAGTGTTTACATGGGAGGAAAATCTGAGGAAATGGAGACACACCTCACAGTCATGGATACAAGTCAAGGTTGCTGGATATCCACAGTGAAGAAACATACTTCGATTTTAAAACAAGCTAAAATTGCTAGTTCATTAGTGCAAGTTCCTTTTGGTGCTATTTAAAGACAAAATGGTCTGTGAAGTGCAGCCTGGCAGAGAGTTCAGAGCAGAAAGGCTTGTGTGGGGAGACTACTTGGCAATATACATATGGGAGAAGTTTGCAGTTTGACTGTGGGTTTATCAATTTCATGATTTTATTTTTCACAAATTAGAATAAAGACCAGAAAAATAATTTTAAAATAAATGAGATTTATTCATTTCACTTACTAAATTACAGTATATTTTCCAAAATCCCTGATGCTCAAGGAAATTCTGATGCAGTTGAGAAAGCCACCAAGACTCCAATATGATAACCACTGAGACTACCATGGCAGCTCTTGATCAAATGGTTAGGGAATTTTGTTAAACTGTCTAGCTGGAAATAAAGCCATTTCGTTTCTTGTGTGAGAATGCACAGGGCTGCTAAGAGAGATTTTCATTAGAAAAAAAATTTATATTCACACCTTTAAATGGAAATACTGTTTGTCTTGTTCAATAATCAAAAATTTGAAGTTTCTTACTTCAGTACTGGAGTTAAGCTTGGTTGGAAGAAAACAGGCTTAATAAGAAAAGGACATTATTTAGTCTTACAACTCTGTACCTCCTCTCCTTTCCTTCCCCACCCCTACACAGCAGCTACAGTTTAAGACTGAAGACAGTGAAAGAGCCCAAGGAGCAGACAGCTCAGGGTACTTGCTGCACTTTCATCAATTTTCATTTTGCTTCATTAAAAAAGCTAGACGCTTTTTTTTTCCCCACTTAACTAAAAATTGAGACCAAAGCCAGTTGCTGTAATCAGCTTATATTTAGTTAGCAAATTAAACTGAGCAAAAAGGCACATAGCCAGAATCTCTTACTCATCCTAAAGCCAGATGCTGCTAACAGAAAGCACGTGGCTGGGGACTGCTAGCATTTGCAGTCAGTCCAGTGAGTCAGGCAGATCACACAGTTGCACGAAGGCACCTCAAACCAACTTAACAACAAATACTGTTTCTTGCTCTTGTGCGCTTCATGCAAATGCAACTACCATATTATTTAAAACAAACTGTGCTGCAATAGCGCAATCTTGCCTGTCAAATCATTCCTTTTAAAAGCTTGCTGGAATTGCCATCACAGAGGAACTGATGAGGCTCACTCGTGAGATCTGTAGCTGCTGTGTGGGATCTACTAAACCCCACCTTGGGAGTGTGAACATACTGCAGCCAAAGGACCATTCCAGCTGATCAGAAAGCTACTAAGCGAAGCCTGGAGAGATCTATTACAGGAATACCTTCTATTCTGATTTTAACGTAAGTACACCAGAATGCAAAGCAACCAGGAGTAAAAAGAAATCCATGAACAATTTCCCCTTGAGTGCTAAAAGGGATTATAACAAGAAAGCCCTCTCAGACGTTCTGATGAACCTATTTTCTTGTTCTACTCCCCTTCACCCTTTTGGCTTCATTATTCAAAGTGGGAGAAAAATACTAGTAACACACCCTGTTCACACACAGTAATGGTGGCTGTCACTCACTATGGGATAAAATAATTTTCCCCTTTTATTGGCTTTGATCACAAAACCAAACCAAACCAAAAACCCCTCTAACACTGAAAACCATAATCGCTAACAATGAGAAAATATCCACTGGTAAAACACTGATGGATAGTGTTTATTTTACTTAGTAAAGTAAGAGAATATTTTCAAACTGGTTTTAATTATATGCAATTATAGTCACAACTGTTTACAGATACACCTACGGCTGCCAGCTAAAGAGAAGGAAAAAATGTGTTAGAACATGTCACCTTGATGACAACGTCTTACAGACCTTGAATGGCATATGAAAACTGTAGGAGAGATACTGGGGGAAATTTCAGCTACATAAAACCGGAGATGGGTTTGGTGCAAGAGAGACTAATACTTTAAAGTGAGAACGGGGCCATCAAATACAAAGCTTAGCAGCAGGAAGAGTGCATGTGTTAGTTCGGGTAAGTCCTACATGGCTACAGAAATATCCTTCTCTCTCTACAGAAATAAGTTTCCTGATACAATGTAGGACCACATTTACCTTCCTTACTGTACTGACTTATTCTGGGACAGCATAAGGTGTTTTATGAAATAAAGCAGCTAATGGATGAAGCTCCCCCTTAAAAAAACAACTCTCGTTTATCCCCCAGACTATGACCTTGTACACTGTACTGAACAGTCTATTTTTAGTACTCCAGCCCTCAAAAGTTGTCCAATTCCTCCTCTGCTGCATCCTGAAAGTCCTATTTATTAGCAAATTTGTATCAGCAGTTTGCCTCCTCTTTATGTCCAGATGTTCATCAAATAAATGATAGATGAGCTGACTCTGTTTATTCTGCACAATCACATTTGCATCCTTGAGCTGACGCATCGTATTTTGGAGAGCAGGAAGGGCAATAGCTTATGTTTACAGACTTAGAATTTTTGAAAGAATAGTCAAGAATCAGACTTGCCTAAGAAACAAACAGCCCTGTACAACCTCCCAATTGCTTAACCTGCCTTACTACACATTATGCTATTATCTTGGTATGTCGTAACATTTTATTTTCAAGGGCAGATATTTGGACCAATTTGCACTTCCAAAAATACAAGGGTATTGGGAAAAAAAAAATAATCTGTATTTGATTTTGAAAAGGACTGTTGCACAATTTAAAGGATCACTGACTTTGTAAATTCAAACAATATTAAAAATTAATTAATCTTTTGAGCAGCCTTGTTTCACAAAAGATAAATTTTCAAGATTTACTACTTTAAATTTCGAAACAGTAACTCCACAAGTCTGTGTCCACAGCTGCAAGAACAGATCCTTCGTCAAAACACTTCTAATGATACTCTGCAAAATATTACTACTATTCTATAATAACTAGGGTATTACTACCGTTCTACAATGACTAGGGATGGAGGACTCTATAAAAACATACTTCCAAACTTTCCAGAGACTTAGTCAGGTAGACAAAAATATAATTAAAGTAAATACACAAGAAAACATAGTGAATGCATATAACGCTTATAGGAACTTTATTAGGAATATATGTGATGAAAAGCTTTTGTTTACTCCAAAACCTCAGTTGAGATGCACATGCTCCTTCATCTCTGCAGCATTCAGCCTAGAAAATTAAAAATCATGCTAAACAAAGGAAATTTAACTAGTAAAAGCATACACTCATTTATTGGGCTTGTAGAGGCAGTAATACTAATGCCACACAGTTATAAACAAGTATTATCAAGCAACTGTATGGCATCAGAAAGCCTGGCAACACGAAGACAGAAAACACTTTCTTTTATGTGCTATTGTGTATGTTTAGAATCAGTCTGGCATATAGTAAAATGTTTCAAAATTCATTTCTTACAATACTGAAAACCTAATGCAACTGTGTTTTATAATAGTAGTGCACATCATGCTGAACTGGGAAATTCTTGTTAGGCTGTTAGTGAGGAGCGCTGCAGCTCGTGCTCTGGCAAACAGCTTTCACATTTAAAACGTTTTAACATTCTAGAAGCTTATTCCAGATGCCACTCTGAATGCGATGCATAAGCCCCTACAATTGTGACAAACAAAGGTTTGACAAAGCAAGAAAAACCACACAGGCACTGTGAAAAAAGTCCCTCTGCCAGGTGGCTTTCAACTGAGTAATATGGCAGTAATTTTGACACAGCCACAGACTAGTAAATACTTGAAAAATTAAGAGTCTACAAATCAGATGGAGCTTACCAGAAGTACACCACTCCCACTGTTCCAAAAGGCAAAGTCTAAGACTAAACAGATTCATATGCATTTTTTTTCCCCCTTAGTCATACAAAGAGCAGGACGCCATTTGATGCACAATATCTGACAGCATGAATTTTGAAAGTCTACTTCCAGGTCAGACCAACATTGTCAGGCAAACAAACACAGAGATTAAGAGTTTAACCTCAAATAGCAAAGAACAGCAGAACAACCAATTACTACCAATACTTCCACTGGAGACTACTGTATTTCTGGTTAAGTCATCATCCAAAGTCTGCATCTAATTTAGCTAGAATTCTCTCCAGAGGAAAGATAAAAAAATGGGAAGTGGGCATCTATCAATTCAATATTAACCTTATAACTGCCTCATCAGTCCTGCATTCTCTAATAAAGACAGAACTGCTACATTCTAGTAGGCAATGAGTTTATTTGTAGTATCAGGATTTTCCCAGATTTTTTATCTTGCAGGCTACATGGGTATAATTTCCAGGATTCATAACTGAAGAATCAAAATTTCCAAACAACAGATAACTTTTCATTAAAAAGAAAAAAAAAAAAATCAATGTCAATATTATTTTCAGCTCTTTGCTACTTAAGAAAATGGCCTGCAATGCACCAATATTCTAATATATCAACTTACTAAATCCGTGATCACTATAGAAATTGAAAATTATTTTCATGGAAACATACTGTAATACTCAAATGTTTCCTAATTCTACAGGTAAGCTCTTTAGGGGAAGGGACCATTTCCTTTGTATAATTTATAAGGTGTTGAGCATGTTACTAGTGTTTAGAATATATTAATACAGATTTTTCGCATTTCACAGTAAGTTTATCACATCAAAGACATAATCAAGCCAGTTTCAGGACTAAAAATTTGGCACACAGATGCACTGAAGAACTGTCACCTTTTAAAATCTTCTGGTTGACATGACCATGTCTATCAAATGCTGAATACTGCTTACAGGAAGGCCGCAACGAAATGAAATGTAAGGCTGTAGGCTGAGATACTGTTTAATAAAAGCAGGCAGTGGTCAGAATTCTACCTCCACATCTTTGTAGTTATGGCTATGTAGTTACTTTCTTTCACCAGAAACTTTCAGCTTGCCTACTGAAAGCTGGATAATATTTACAGGATGACGTTGAATCCAAAACTGAGGATTTTCTTCAGGTGCCACACAAAAGGTGAGAATAACTTCAGCAGTTTTATGCCTGCATTCTGTTTCAGATATACGTGCTTCTCTGAATCTTTCTCTCACTAGTGAGAACGAAGTTACACCCTTTAAGGGTTTCCAATGGATAAACAGCATAATGCCCTTGCATTATTCCATACATTACAACAAGGCACCCCCTTGGCCATTTTGAAAACAGGATACTTTCTGAAAGTCCAAAAGTCCACAGCAGAAAACAATAAAAATTAATAGTGATTTTAGGTTGACAAGACGTTTATATTTCTCTTTGTAATGTGTGAACCTATTTTGCATAATAATTTAAGAACCATTAAAGACACAGCTTTAAAGCAATCTCAGTTGAATTCTAGGAAAAAGGCTAAGCATATTTTAAGCAATTACTAGATACAGCAATTCAGCTGCTGCAGAATTGTGCAGTACAAATTTTTTGTGCAAGGTCATTAAATGAGTTCAAAACCCTTCAGTCAAATCAACTGTAATTCACACTTTTACTTTGAAAGTAAGTTTTACATCATTCTACACAATGTATAGTACAACCCCAGGTAACCTGGTTCTGTAACCGATTTCTACATAGCCCTTTCAATTAAACAACATTGCTCACCGTACCATTTCTCCCTTTACTGGAAAAGACTTTAGTGGAAAGCTTTTTCTATAGTGGTATCTACATCTTACTTCAATCAGAAAAGAACACTCGATACCCCTATTTTAGTGCCATCTGCTTCCCTATTTTTCATGAAAATGTATGACTTTGAAAGCAAATGTACGTCTTGTTCAGAAACACTCTTGTCAGTCCTCAAGAATAGCAAGAGGAAGTAGTAATACCAGATCGAGGGTATTTTATCCTGATACTTAACTTATGATGTGATAATAGGCATCAAATAGACAAAGTCACAGAATTCCCAGTTTTCAGGAACAAAAGCATCAGATGGGATTAGCTCTAATGTTGATTCCAAGCAGTGTATTTCCTAACTGCAGGGCTAAACATGCCTTAAGTCTCCAGCTGCAGAACATAAAAAATGCTTACAGCATACAAATTAGGTTCTTTAAAATTTACTAGTTTTTCATTACAAAGCTTGTAAGCAATGGCATGAAAAAAAGCCATAGTGGCTCACACCAAACATTTACCTAACTTAGTACCCTGTCTCCTAGAGCGCCCAAAAGCAGGTATTTAGGCAAGTCTATCAGGACAGGGCAAGCACACACAACACTTCCAACAAATACTTATCCGCTTTCCAAAAATGAGCAACGAGTAATGAAAAGAAGTTTCTCTGCCATATTGTCCCAGCATCTTCAACTTTTTACTTTTAGCACCCAACTGATGTGTTTTCATTCAAGAGAAGCAACTGTTTTGTTAAAAGTACAGATAAACTTACAGATAAAAATCTCCTTCAAGAATCACCGCACATTCTTGTATATGAATTTTAATATTTCAGGACTCCTGTTAAATATCAAATACTCCAGAAAAAAAGCATCTGTTTCACCAATGTTTTAAATTAATCAGTTAACTCTCTTCTGGAAGACAGTTAACATTTACATTAAGCTACATCCATCTCTTTGTATGTCTATATAAACTTTCAGGTTCTGAACACTATGAGTTTGCAGATGCAAAAGCAACATACTAAAAACCACTTACTCACTATACTTCTTGTACTTTGCTTGTATCAAGTGTCAGTTTTACAACAGCTACAACTTGACCACATCCCTCTGACTGCAGTTACAGTCACACAAAGAAGTTCAACCACCAGTTAGTCCTGAGGCTCCTGGAAGAAACATCCGTGAAGGCACCAATTACCTGCATCAGTTTTCTTGAGAGCTCGTTAGTGAGAAATTCCTCTTCCTTTTCATAGTTTACTGCAAGCGTTTCTTTTTCTTTCTGCAGAGCTTGAATCTTCTTAAATAGAGTATTACTAATGAATTCCTCTTCCTGCTCTGCCCTTGCTTGCTGTGAAGACAAGACATAGTTTTAAGAAAAAAGGGAGCAAGTTTCCACATTAAAAGCTGCAATTATTCCGTTCCTCTTTAAATGCCTCCCACCTATGGTTGGTTTTTTTTTTTAATCTTGCCCATACTCCTGGAGCACAGTAGGATGGATCTAGGTGCTGCTACCATCCCCTTTTCTAACATTATAGCACCTTTCTTCCTTTTTTGTTCCCCATCTTTCAACTTGGGAAACTATACTGGTGCTTTAAAGTGGCCTCCCCCCAGCCAAATGCCTGAACTCCCCAACCTTTTAAACTTCATAAAAGCATTACTGATTCACAGACACCTACTTTTACTTACTCTGTTCCTAAAAACAAACTCCTGTCTAAATGTTCTCCATTAAGAGCAGAAGCACAGCTCCGGGACTGCTGCAGTCAGCACCATGCCTTCTTTCCAGATCCCTTAGACTGCAGCCCTGCTCTCTAGGAGTCAAATAAGGCGCTTATTCCTTCACCCAGATATGCCTTGCTTCTGAGCCACAGGCAGCACGGCTCATCTCACGAGGATTTCTACCCAACCACCAGCCCAGGAAAACATACTTACATTACTTCTCAGAACTGTTCCTTCACTACATACAACATCAACTCTTAAAAAATGTCACGTGGTAACTTTACCCCGAGGATTTCCAAATTTCACAAAAGTAGAGCTACTCTGGAAATCTTCCTCATGAAGAATCATTAGAGAAGACAATTTCCATTTCAGCTCTCCTATAGCACGTAGGCACTGCTCAACCGAAAGCCAGCCTGTGAGCTTGCTCCCTCACATTCCCTACAGTTCAAGTGTTTGTATGGGGGTTTTTTATGTACATATTAGAAACTTCATAAATGGAACACAGAAGTTATCTTTCGGAAGTCTGCTCTAAAAGGCCACAAAGGGTATTTCACATGGGCAAATGAAAGATCACAGATACAAATCGGTAGAGCCAACTCAACAATTCCACAGTCCAAAGAGAGCCCAGAACAACAGAATGACAGAAATACAGACAGAGAGAATTCCCAAGCCACCACCTTTTAACAAATGAGACAATGTAGTGTTGAGGAGTGTTTTCATCCCCTGCAATAGCATCCTCAACACTTCAACTGCAGATTTGGGATTTGCCCTCATCCTAATAAAATTATACCAGCTTATAGCTTACAATATGTAAAGATTCAGCAAGTTTTATTTCAATAAAATTTGATAGAGGAAAATTTAACAACTGAAACAGAAGCATTATCGGTTTTACTGAAAGCTTAGCTTCCATAGTCTTCTGCCCAAAGTGTGCCAAAATAGCCATCTCTTTATACATACTGTCTACTGGAAAGTGTTCAAAAGGTTTCATTATGTCAGTGATCTTTCAGTCGGAATGCTATATTCCCTAGTACTCCCAAGAGACAATTACTTACAACAGAGACACCTTCCAAGCCTACAAGAAAAGTTACTTAAAGAACATAAATGTCTTTAAAATTGGTGGAACAATAGGACATTTGTAAATTTTCCTCATGATATCACCAGTATCATAAAATCTAAAGCAGTGGTTTGGAAACTTCTCAGTTGAGTCCTCCTTCCATCAAGTCCTTCTCTTCACATCTTAATCTCTGCCTTCTTGTGTCTTCTCCCATCTCCATCACCTTCTTGTCTTGGCCCTTTCCCACTATCTGCCACCAGCTCCCTTCTCACTGTCACCAGCAGAGCTGGCACAAACCCAACTTGAAGGGAAAGAAACAAAAAAAAAGGAAATAGAAGAAAAAGAAAACAAAGGTCTGGCATGGTTTATTAGCTTAGGAGCATAGGTCCTGCCACAGCACCTCCTCTCTAATGTTTGTGCATCTCAGTGGCAGTGAACTGCTAACTCCAGCACATTCAGCATTGGCGTTATCACTTGTCACATCAAGACAATGCAGAGTTGTCCAAGAGCTTTGAAGAAATGCTAAATTGTCAGCTCGCATCTCAGAGGATTAAAACTTAAGGAATGTAACCGATCTCAATAACATCATCTATCACTAAATGTGGCTTTACTCGGAGCTACTAACAATGTTATATCTTCAGAGGCATTTCAGAACAGAGTAAACAAGTCAAATTGCAAGGGTCCATTGTCCTCAAATCGTTAAAATTCATGCATGCTGTTCCAAAACCAACTCCTCCATTGCCTTCACTACACAGGATTTCTACTGGTGTCTGTCTTTCAATGCAAAAGAGAGTAACACAAACCAAGCTTACCTAAAATTAAATTAGAAAGCACTTGGTTCTAAAAAAGAAGGGAATCAGGGTGTTTCTACTTTGATTTCTGTTCATTTCTAACTTGCACAGCTTTGTTCTGCTCATGCTTTGCACCAATCAAAAGCTCTAAAATCATGTTATTACAGCACCAAGCCTGCACAAAACTTCGTAGCCAGACCCTGGTGCTACATTAATGATGGGTGCTTAGGCCAAGATGAACACGGGCTGCCAAGATCCCAGCCCACTCCCAGCCAAACAGCAATGCCCCTCCCTTTGTGCCTGCACGGGTGCTCATGCAGCCAGGCAGCAGGCCAGCACAGGCAGAAGGAGACACCCAAAAACTAATCCTTTCCCTTCCTCCTCCCATTTTTCTTTCCTGGATCCACTTCCTAAACTGGCGTACCACATAGGCAGAGTGCTGGCACACAGAAATGAAGAACGAACAGACACAATTTAGACCTGTTTAAACTGCTCTGCAACAACCCCCTCTGCCTACACCGTGTAGGACACCAGCTTGCATTCAGCTGGCTCAAAGGAAAAGATGACTATGATTACATCTGCCTCCATTATATGAAGAATATATTTCTCAACTGAACAAACAACAGGAACCCTATAAATCTAAGCATGAACTGTAAGCTCCAGATATCCACACAACCTATTTAATACAATGAACATCCACTTAAATTACCCAAGGGTCAGCAATTCCAGCACAAACTTTTTAGTCAAAAAACATCATACAGTTATTAAGACTGGGTATAAAAGCACATGGCGCATTCCCATATTTCTTCTAAATCCTCATACTTTCATTCAGAAACTTTCCCTTTTCTTGTTACTCATTACTCTGAGATAGTTCAATTATCTTACGCAATAAAATCATTCCTGTTTACTTTAATATTGCCTAAAATCTTGATATCTGTTACTCATTTAGCCCATAATCAAACTGATATTGTAACACAGTCATTAAAAAATCAGTTTTTAATACTATTTCCTGCACAGACTCTGTCACTACAATATTTTTATGGACACATATACATTGTGTCCCCATATGGATAATCTGCCTCTTTATTAAGGATCTGCATTTGAAAAGAAACTGATATGATCAGCAAAAAAAAAAAAAAAAAAAAAAAAGAGAGAAACAGAGCATGGAAATCTGAGACAATCTTCTGTGGATCTTCTATGAGGGTACAGAGTTCTTAGCTTTTCTCTATCATCCATATCTCATTCAACATCCAAAAACAGGAACAGCAATTCACTCTGTTCTGTATACCATATTACAAAATAAATTGCTAAGGCACTGAGTGATACAAAATGATAACACCCCATCAGTCAATCTCTGGAAACCTGAAACAATCTACTTCCACTGCAGATTTTCTGCATAACCACAGCCACATCCAACCATCTCCTGTGTCTCAAAATTCCATGTATAGCTAACTTGGAGCATTCCATGGACACAGCCACTAAGGAAAATCTGTAATTATGGTGGTCAAGACCATACATAACAAAGACTTTCATGTTACTTTGCAAGAAATCAAGAATGAAGAGGGGGGGAAAAAAGCACCTTGTACCTAAAACACACAAAACCTCTTATATTTTCTAGGAAGAAAAATCCTATTATTGCTATTGCAGTAGCATGTGAAAACCTGATCACTAGTAGAGCTGATGCGTGAAGTGTTGTAAAAACCTGTCCTTGTGAGCTTACAATCCAATGAGCTAATTTTAAAAGAATTAAGAAACATATTTCTCCTAAACTTAACATAGTAACTGAGCATATTAGGAAGTGCATCCTAAACTTAACATAGTAACTGAGCATATTAGGAAGTGCATCCTAAACTTAACATAGTAACTGAGCATATTAGGAAGTGCATCTCATTAGAAGTTATTTTTCTACATGCTGCATATACTAGCATAAACAGCGAAAAGTTTAGTGTTAAAAATATTTCTCTGCTCTCAGTTCTTCTTCCTGTAAGTATAGCCCTAGCAGACCAAGTTCACACTGCTGGATTTCCCTCTGCCCTCTTGCTTCTAGTACATGCAGCAGCTTCTGCTTATGGTGGGATGCTCTCTTTCTGTATCACTGGACCATACCACAACCACACTGCTCTAGTGGTCCTATTTTACGAAGCAGCAGAATCCAGTATTTTCAGTGAAGCATCAGCTTGAACACAGTCAACTAAAAAAATTAAAAATAAAAAAACCACAGCTCTCTGCATTCTCTTCTCCCTCCAGTTAGTTCTAAAAGCTTCCCAAACCTTCCTGACACTGCACAAAAATCAAGCAGGTTCAACAACCACAATTAACACTTCTGCTTAGTCAATACCAGTACAACATTACCAGTGATCTGACATGAACAAGATCTTGCATTTTAATTTCATCTTTCACTTCAGACACAATTTCAGTGAAAAGAGTTTCACAAACTACTCCAGTCACCTACACTCAACCACCTGAATGTCAGATGCCAAGCACACCTGGTTTGCATCCTGACAAAGCATCACCTCTCTCCAGTAGCATCCAGAGTAGAGGCGACCCTAGATTTCAGGGGATCCTGCTGGAGACCGCCTACCAAGCACCGTTTTGATCTAATCCACTCTTGAAGGTCCCTCATCTTCTAAGGCAAGAGCCATTATGACCTCTTTACAATTCATCCATCTTTTTCCAGTGCAATTTCAGATGGCAGGACCCTATGGACAATATAAGCCTGCAGATGGAGCTGAAGAGCAGTTTCATCTGGTTGCTGTACACAAGAAACTCAATCTTTGCTACTGAATATAGACTGAAAGGTTGGGGCAGCTTCAGGAAGAGATGATCTCAGTTGCTGCACATGTTACACTGAACTAAAGCCGTCACTTCAGAAAGCAGCCTTTCCCAAAGTCCTGCTAAAAAATACAATGAGGTAAAAAGGGCGTGAAGTGCAGAAAGTCACAATGGCATGATTTTAGAATATGCAGTTCTTGCATAAAATAAAATCCAAGTTTCCCAATTGTCCTGAAGTACACACTCCTCCTCTAGCAGTACTAACTCGAGTTACTGCTCTGGCCACACTTTCTGGCACCAGTTTAAAACACTACGGAAAACTACTGGTCTACAAATGCAATAAATATTCCAGTGAGCTGATACTGTTCCCTTACAGGAAGAACTTTAACGCTGCAGCTCTCCCAGGCTGGAGCTATTTTTTTCCTACAAACCTTCCAGCCACACCTGAAAGGAGCACACTGCATGCAGTGTGCATTTCAGACAAGGAGAAACATGAACCACCGCAAGAACAGAAGTCAACAGTAACTCAGAGACTAACGGCTCACACTACTGCCAGCTATCATGACTGCCCAGCAGCACTATGTGCAAGGGCTGAAGGACAAGGAAGTTCTGCCCAAGTTCCAGTATGACGTGGGCACAGATTTCCCCCCCCAAGTAAAGGTACAGCTTTCAGCTGGGTGGCCTGTCTGCAGAGAAAAGAGAGTGAATGCTCTTGAGGCTAAAGCGGTGACCTGGAATTCGAGTTCTGGGTTCAATTTGTAGTGTGATTTCCTGTTCAATCTACAGCACCCCCAGGGTCACTTCCTCAGTTCTGACATAAAAGTACTTTTTTCTTTTTCATTTTTTTATTTTTTTTTTCCTTTTCCCTTCTTTAAGATGCATTTTCAGGAGCAACAGAGCAACACAAATACCAGAACTATGCATTTTTTATCTTTGGGCATACAGTGTCTCCTAGAAGCCCCATATTTTTGAAAACAAACAAGCAGTAATACCTTGGTATGTTTCCTTCAGAACCCCAAGCTGTTGGGCAAATGAGGAGGAAGGGGAGCGGTGTGTGTGTTTGGTTTTGTTTTTTTTTTGGGGGGGGGGGGGGGGGGAAATCATGGGTATTGAACCTCAGCCTGATAATTTCAAGTACTCTAAATGTTACCTATCATGTAACATTAAAGCCACATGCAGAACTGTTTCAAAACACAATTCCTATTACATTTCAGCTATTCAGTACATGAGTTCTGCTGTAAGAGCGGAAAAAAAAGATATCTGGCTTTTATTACAATAATAAAAGAGTATCTGTATGATAAGCAATTATTTAAAGTGTTAAAATAC